CTCCTGCTCCCTCCCAGCCCGCTGCCCCCTGCTCCCTCAGAGCGGCTCCTGCTCTCTCACAGCGGCTCCTGCTCTCTCACAGCGGTTCCTGCTCCCTCACAGCGGCTCCTGCTCCCTCCCAGCCCGCTGCCCCCTGCTCCCTCAGAGCGGCTCCTGCTCCCTCACAGCGGCTCCTGCTCGCTCCCAGCCCGCTGCCCCCTGCTCCCTCACAGCGGCTCCTGCTCCCTCCCAGCCCGCTGTCCCTGCTCCCTCACAGCGGCTCCTGCTCGCTCCCAGCCCGCTGCTCCCTGCTCCCTCACAGCGGCTCCTGCTCCCTCCCAGCCCGCTGCCCCCCGTCCTGCCCGATGGCAGCAGCAGCAGGAGGCACGGAGAATGAGGAATTCGCCCTCATTCGTGCTGAGTTAACACTCTGAAAAGCTTAATTATCGCCCGGTCACGTTCAGGGGATGCTTCAGCTTCAGCCCAGCAGCTCAGCTGTGCTTCCCTCCTCATCTTCCACCACTGCTGACTCGTGCTTTAGGATGTCTGCGAAGTGTTTTGACGGCATTGATCTGTTTTGATCCCACCTATGTTAATTGTTCTTCCAGCGCCTTAACAGGCACACAGAAGGGATTTCAGAATCAGTCATCCACAGTCCTTTGATGGAGATTGTTAGTACATGTGCATATCCAATTTTGGATGCCATGGCATTCAGATATCCTTCCCTTCAGTTTTATGGATTTTCAGCTTGTGAGTTTTTCAGTTTAACCAATGGCTTTTATTAAATACATGTTGGATTTTGGAAGTATATAAAAAAATGCAGCGAATCCAAGAGTGTTGTGTGATAAGTGTGGTAAAAAAGTTTATTGTCAAAATCTTAATCTGATCAGGCTGTTGTTGCTTCGTACGCTATTTAAATAAGTATTTAAATTCAAGGGGCAATTAGATATTCCTGAGAAAAACGAAACAAAAGCACCTCATAAGCGGATCAGAAATTCATGTTAATTTAGTGTGCATTCCTGTCTGTACTTTAAGTCCTCAAGGGGAAACTATGAGATAATTTGATTTAAAGGGGGAAAAGTGACAGATACATAATTTTTGTGTTTCATATTAAACGTGTCCCAGGAGAGCATGGCATCCTGCAAAAGCCTATGGGAAAGTAGAGGGAGGAAAATTACAGAAAAATATGGGCAATACCCCAAGAGAGTATATATGAAGAAACAGTGGAAAATAAAGGCAAGTTAAAGAAAAACACACACAAAAAAAAGGTTTAGGTGACCTAAATTGCTGTCACCAACTGGTGTTTTGGATACTCTATATGTACAAATTTTAAGTTTTACATATCTTTCTGCTCATTTATCCAGTTTTGACATGAACCGTACTTGTAAATGAGTTTTTTAAAAATATAATAACTTACATTTGTTTTATGGATTTAATCTTCTCCTTCTCTTTCCACAGTGACCTGGAGCTATAAATGTCCCTGTCTCCAAGATACAAAATGCTATCTTGATATTTCTTCTGCCCACGGTCATCTCTGCATGCCAGTTAGAAACCACAGAAGCACCATAAAGACAAGTTTTACAGAAAAATAGTATATTAGGTGTGGAGGAAGGCACAAAACCACTGCCAGGATGTAAATATTTCCCTCTAGAGCTGTTCAGGAGTTCTGGTGATGGAGGTGATTCAAGGTGAGCAGTTGAGAGATTCCTTCTGAGCTATAGCAGATCCTCTCACTTTTACCACTGCTCTGATTTTCTGTCTACACCACATGAATGTATGTTTGTACATACAGTACTACATGTAGTACTGAACACAACTGAAGGGAGAAATAGTTTCCAGAGAATTTTAGGTAATTGTCTATAGCAAGAAAGCAAGAAAATTAAGTTATTTAGGATGAATGTCATACTGTACTATTACTATGTTGTTTTTAAACAGAGTATTTTTATTCCTTAGTTGTCTTTTGAAACTGTACAGAGTGTTCTTGGTGAAAAATCAAGGATGATTAAGAGAACAGATCAAAGCAAGCATCTTTTTTCCAGAATGAAGTCATCCACAGTCCTTTGATAGAGATTGTTAGTACATGTGCATATCCAATTTTGGATGCCATGGCATTCAGATATCCTTCCCTTCAGTTTTATGGGTTTTCAGTTTGTGAGTTTTTCAGTTTAACTAATGGCTTTTATTAAATACAATGCACTAAACAATAGAAGATGTCTTTGTTATCTAGATGTCTAGAATAATGCCTAAACTTTAGCAGCAGTATCATTTCTCTCCCTACCTATCTCAAATTCAATTAAAATTCTATCCTTGTGATATGTAAGAATCTATAATAATTTCATTATAGTAATTTAAACTATAGTTGCTTTAATGTTATGTAATACAGATGCATCTAATAAAGACAGTTTGAGTTAGAAATTTTGGGTTTTGATATTGGAAGTAATGAACACTAAACTGTAGAAGTTTTTTTCATGTTATTTATATGACCATGTAATACTCTGTTAGATTGATATCATTTGAACTGTGCTTAGAATTTTGTAACTTAACGCTTAATATATAATTAACTATTTTTTTTGAATCTTCATAGTCACAGAAACTTGTGTTTAAGTTTTTATTTTCTCTGATAGCAAAAAAAATGAGAGCAAATATTAAGGTAGATCCTGCATTTATGATGAGAGAGCTAATATTTTCATCAACTTCATTTTCTGCTCTATAATTTTTAGTAAAAGACAGGTCTATAAACTCATGATAATCTAACAAATTTGTTGCTTTAGAAATGCTCAGGAACCAGGGAAAATGATATGCTTTGATTTTGGAGACTGCAATTACCAAACATCTATCTCATTCCAAATGGAGACTGGGAGGAGAATGTAGAAAACAAAGAACCACTTAAAAACTGAGCATGTTTTGTCCGTGTTTAAATAAACACAGAGTATTAAGAAGTTATTAAGGTAATTACTACGAGAAGGGTAAGTAATCTGGCCTTTTTGGCTTCTGCTAACTTGCATGCCCCCGGTAGGACTTGACACAGAACATGAAAAGTACATGAGAGGTCTCCACTGACAGCTCAGTCTCCAGCATGTAACTCAGTGCAGACACCCACTGCCTTTTAGTGAGCACAATTTTTTCAGCCAGAAAATTCTCCATAACAATAATGTCAGAGCAGATCTGTTTGGCTCGGGTTCCACTGAGTGAATATAATTCATATTTTTCCATAATTAGTTTCCCTACGTAGCAGGTTGTTGGTTTGTGTCGGGTTTTAACAAATGTCATTCTGATCCACTTGCAGCTCCTTACATTTGAGCTTCTGGAACGCTGATGCTGGGATACCTCAGGCACATTTTGGTTTCTCCCTGTAGCACCAAGCAGCTCATGCAGTTGTTACTGCTGGGCAGTCACTGCCCTTCCTCAGGGCATCTGGAGGCTCCAGGCAGGAGCATTCTGCTGTGCCCAGGGAGAAGTGAGGATGTTGGCACCACGTGCTCCATCAGTGTTAAGATGAAGCGAGCAGGCAGCATTGCATTAAAGGCAAGAGATCCTCTCCTGCCTGCCTCATCTGCCTCTCTAAATTCTCCCTGATGTTTGGCCAAATTATTTGGATCCATTCACCCTTCTACACTGATTTTTTTTTCCCCAAGATTTCTGGTTTTTTATGAAGCACATAACTATGGCCATTTAACTTCAGAGCACTGTGGGAATTTACAGAGAATGAACCAATGTGGGTTTTTTTTATTTTGTGTTTAGAAAATTGTTTAAATTTTTAAAATAATACTGTGAGCTTCTGGTTATTAGTCACAATTTTTTAATGCCTAAGAGAGAAAATGATGACCTGATTTGGGTACCTAAAGGAAATATTAGTGTCTAGAAGCATAGGTACATAGCTAGACATGTGGCCAATGAGCCACATATTTTAGATGAGTACTGCATTTTATGCTAATTATTTGCACAGTTATTAATTTCATCAGAGACTAATTAACCAATATCTTCAGATAACTTATGCTCAGTGTTCCTGCTACCACTAGGTTAGATTTCTTGTCAGGAGATTGATTGTTATGCTTTTTTATGAAAACAAAATACCATAAAAAAGAACCCTACATAATGTAATCACAGGTGCTGAGGTCAAACACCTGCAATATGACAGAGAAAGGAAGAGATCTGATATCTTTATTAGAAAGAAATAATTGTCTTGTTTACTTTCAAGGTAGATAATTTATTCATGACATGAAACTTACGGAGTCCAGTAGTGACTTGTTTCTTTTCTTAGTCAAGTACAAATTTGATTTGATTTTAAATATATATTTTTTTATGCAAAATGGCAACAGACATTGTAACAAATATTCCAGCATCATACAGTTTTGTAGCCCAAAGTCTTTGAACCTATTTTTGACATTAACTTATAATATGTTCTTTTTTCCACTGGAGGAATTAGAGGGTTCAGGATGACCAATTGTCATCTGGGATGTCTCATTGAAAAGTAAAAGAAAATTATGAGATTTTAACTTAATAGCCTGAAATAATTGTGGGGTCCATTGTGGAAAATCAGCTCCTGCCTTCTGATTCTGTTGGAAAGGAATTGTACTTGAGAAGGTTTGTAACATACCACAGCTCCCCTTCTGAGGATGACCCCACCCAGCTGATGCATAGCATGCAGTTTTGGGAAAAAAGCTGATTGTAACACGTTCGAGTAGCCTGGTACAGACAGCTGCCATGGTAGATTTTACCGCTCTAAAGGGACAAAAACATCACAGTTCCTTCATCCATGTGCCTTGTAATCTTAGTGTTTATATATATAGCTGTAGCATGTGTGTATCTTCTCATTATCACCATTCACTTATACCACTGCTACCTCTTATGCTCTGTGAGGTTTTTATCCTCTATAAGCCTTTTATTCTCTCTGTGACTTTCCAAATGTACTTCACAATGCTTTGAAGATTAATCCTATAATTAAAGGACATAGTTAAATAATAAAATTCTGGCTTGCTTATACTGAAGAGACATGTACAATCATCAACCATTAAATTGCATCTAAAAGCATATTTCACTCAAAGAAACAAAGTACCAGCAAATATTTTCAAAAGAAGGATTTAAAGCTGCTGATTCATGGCACACCACCTAAGCATGTTATCTTATAGTATGCTTTGTCTGGAATACACTTCATTTAAGATGTAATGTTTAATTCATCTCTTCTCTTTCCATATGACAATAGAAATACCTTTCTTTCTTATTAAACAAAAAAGGCTTCATTTTCCCAGTACATCAAGGTGACAAACCACAATTGATTCACGAGGCAGTGATATGTGCTAAAAATATCCTAAATATCCTTTAGATATCAAAATCTAAATATCCTACAGCACAAATTACTCCAATCTCTATTTGATGCATTGTCTGCCTATAGACAAGCAGGTCATAGGCTCTTTCAAGTCCCGTTTGTTCAGTTACCAATTTGCTCTGATACCTGCCTTTATTTGAGGAAGTTGTCCCACATCCCCTGCCATAACAAAGTCATCCTGCTGGCTGAGCAATAATAGACTAAGCAATCCAGCCCACTGCCAGAAATCAGCAAGGCACAGATGGAAGTTACAGTCATCAGATGTTTGAGCAGCAGAATACCCTGCTTCTCCTCATTTGTATTGAAGTGTTTCACCTGGGGGATGATTTTATCCACTTGATCTTTCAGTTTTGGCTTGAAATGGAAGCCTGTTGATGACTTTTTATGGTTAATGATCCAATAAAGTTCACTAGGACTCTCCTTAACTTGCAGCCATGGGAAAAGAAATGACGTGTTAAGCTCAAATTTATTATTTTTTTTCTTCTTCTTTTAAACCTTGAGGGTGGAATGGACTGAATCATAACAAATGTTTCGCTGACCACCCAAATACCTGTAGGAAGTATGACCTTGCAGAGTAACTGAGTAGTACATGTCATTTTGATTAAAGTCAGCAATATCATATGCATTATTTAAAAAAGGTTGAACAAAATACTGTAATGTACCAACTCTGTACAGTCTGTATAGTGTAAGGGAGAATTTTGGGCAAATGCAGGGGAGGGAAAAGAAACAGTGGAAAAGGTTTGTTTGATGGGAAGGGTTTTATTGAGTCTGAGGCCTTGATTGGAGAAGGAGAGATCAAGAGTTTATAAGCTGTGGGAGGTAAAGCTGGTCAGTGACCCAAGGATTATAGGCCCTGCCCAAAAGGTCTTGGCCTCAATATAGCTCAGAGAGCCAGCATTGCTGAGGTATTTCAGTCATATAAACTGTCCTGTACAGATATCTCTCTCTTTCTTTCTCATTTTCTGCCTGGAAGAAAAAGCACTATTTTAGTTTCCCTGTGTGATCTTTTTGCTTTTGCCAGTTGCTGCTGTAGAGGAAAATAAAGAATTGAAAACAGAGTCCTTTCTATGGAACAGGTAGCAACAATCCTGTAATCTCTATCTGAAATCTGTTGGTGACTGTAAATAGAAATTGGGTGGTCTTTCTTTTAGCGTTTAGGGAAAGGTGCTGGACCGACAAGATTAACTCTTGGTACTTGTGTTTGTCCCCCTGGGTTTCTCCTAAAACAGTTCTTGTTGCCATAAACTCAGCTTTCTCACTTCCTAATTACATCTTTTAGTAAGGTTAGGTTGTAGTCTGTTTTTTTATCTGGAAAGCTATAGAATTAAGATTTCTTAAAGGCTGTCAGAGACTGAAAAATATAGAAACAGTTCCAGTGGGAAACATTTGACAAGAGGCGTGTTAAAGTCAATTCTAAGGGTCAACCCTTGTGATATCCCAGGGTAATGAGATTCCACCAAAGCCTAAGCCTTCTAGCAACTTAATGGCCATATGCATTTCTATATATTAATATATATACATATATGTCCATAATTTATTTTTATTTAATCTTTGTGCATCTTTAAAACAGTGTGAAGGGAAGGTGGGGGGACAGGCAAGGGATTGCCCTATTCAACCCCAGTCTAGTCCATATTTTATACAGAAGGAGGGTAGTAACAAAAGGACTATTTTAAATGACAGTAACGAGCCCACACCAATAGAAGTACATTGAGGGGAATTTTTAGGAGATTCTGTGGCCTTTGTAAATAGTGGCCCCTCATTATTGAAAAGCCAGGTGACAATACAGAACAACCTGCAGCACATGAAGCAGCAATCAATGCAGGGTGCTTTTTCCTTCCAAGCTTTATGTTATTTTTGGTCTCTCTTGTCATAACTTCAAGTATGGCACATGCCATTCTTGCTTCCTGTAAAATGGCACAGCTGAGACACCAAAGCTCCTGTTAATTCATCCATAGTGCACATGTGCACATACATGCGTGTGAATGAAGAGCCTGATTCTAAGGGAAGGGGTAAATTTGAGGATCTTTTAATACAAAATTTAAAAATTATTTGTATTTTATCTCTAATTAAGTTTTGTAAAGATAAAGCAGTACATAATTTGCCAAAGTTTTGTTTCTTAAAACATTTTTGTATTTTAGATATTAATCATGGAACTCCTTTTATGCAGACATTGCAGTATGTGCTCATACCTTGTTTTGAACTCTAGCACTGGGTTTTAATTCTTCTCCTTCCCTGTTTTTGTGCTATTTAAACAGAAAACTTGAGACATAAATGATTGTTAGAGCTGATACAAAATTATTCATCAGACAAGTATGAGATTGTGACTACCAAGCATAAATATTGCAAAAATCTTGGTTTTAAAGTGTGTAGCATGAGGGTACAAATACAGCAATTCATTTTCTTAAAAATAACTGTCTACCTAAAGATTGGGGTTGTACAAATAGCTTTGTAACATGGAAATGGCAGGACAGGAGAAAGATGTTCCAGTGTTGAAAATATGCCTCCATTTTAGTACAAATTATAAATGATTTAGAGGGCAAATTCAGCAAAGTGGCTCTTTGTACAGACACGAAGTGGCAATGTTCAAATCTCAGGAAGTGTTCAAACATTTAGAATTTAACA